AGGTTAGGGCTCTCGGGGGCGGGGCTTGCCGCTGGGACGCCCTGCGTTTTAGGTCATGCCTCATTCATTGCGTGAACCTCCTTGCCTCCCCTGCCATTTGGGGTAAGACTGCGCCGACTTCCTTGGATTGTCGTGTAAATTAAAGGGCGTAATAGACGGAAACCACCTAGCGCACAGTAGGTGCCCCACGATGTCGCAGGCACAAGCCCGGTGCACATGGATGACCCGGGCTCCTGCGGCTCAGGCTGCCAGGGACAGTTAGATGAATGGCCGACTGCGGCGTGCTGAGAGAAAGCGGTTCAAAGCCCGTGTGGGGGGTGGGGGAATAACAAGAGGGAGGCTTGTGGGGAGAAGGCTTAAACTCAGAGACGCGGGGCGACTCTCTCAAGGCCACACGGTGAGTCAGAGGGGACGCCCTGGGACTTAGGCCTGGGGCCCCAACAGCGGACATTTCTCTTTGCGCCGAACTGCCCCAGGGAAGGGGCGGGTGGGCAGTGGTCAGCCCCTGGCTTCGGCCACCCTTCTGCCACCTCCGTCCTTCCTGCCCCTGTCCTGAGACTTTTAAAATAGCTTCCAGGCACCCAGCCTCCTTCCTAGCCCACCTGGGCTGCTCCGCCGGGACTGTGCAGGAAGCACCTTCTCTGTGAGGCAGGCGTGCAGGGTGTGGGTGTGGGAGGGTTTCTGGGAGCTGAATCAGCACTGCCTTCTCCAGCATGAGTCAGGAGCAAGGCACTGCCGGGCGGGACAGGAGGGAGGGGCAGAGGGAGCCGGGAGCGACCAGCCTGTAATGACAAACCTCAACCACCAGGGGGCACGAGCCAAGCGGGCAAAACCCAGGGGCTCTGGTGGAAAGCCGCGCACCTGTGCGTGTGTGTGTGCGTGTGCGTGTGCGTGTGTGTGTGCGTGTGTGTGTGCGTGTGCGTGTGTGTGTGTGCGTGTGCTGCACTGCACTGTGTCCGGCTTCTTTGCCTTCATGGGGACATGGAGAATGAACACAAGGATTGGATTCTAGGCGTGGCTCTGTCCAACCCTCTTGTCCTGTCCAGGGGTCCAGGGGGAGGGCGTTGCTCAAGGTCACACAGCACGTTAGTGGCAACTTAAGGTGATTGCCACCAGTCTCAGGCATATGCCCCTCGAGGAGCACCCTCGGGCCTCAGTTCTCAGGTTAGGGACAGGTCTCTGGGTGCTGGCCTTTGTAATCAGCAGCTCTGCTTCTCTGTCTCTGTCTCTGTCTCTGTCTCTGTCTCTGTCTCTCTGTCTCTCTGTCTCTCTGGTTCCGCTGGTGCTCGAGACTTGGCATAACATGGTTCTCTTTCATAACATGGTTCGTTTCCTCTCTCTCTCTCTCTCTCTCTCTCTCTCTCTCTCTCTCTCTCTCCCCCTTTGTTTCTGTGACTCCGTTTTTCTCTGACCTCTCCCGGTCTCCCTCTGGCTGCCTGTGTCTCTCCCTCCCGCCTCCACCTCTGCCGGCTCCCTCCCTCCCTCCCCCGGTCCCTGGAGTGCGGTGTTTCCTGCAGTGACTCCTCAGGGATCTGAAACTGTTTACCAACCCGGTGTCTCAGTCCCCCCCTGGGACCCTGAGGGGAAGTTATGAGTGGGTAGCACAACTTGGGGAGGGGAGAAGGCCCCCCACCTAAACGCTACCCCCAGCACCCACCCCCACCCCGGTGCCATTCGGTAGCCCTGGACCTGGTTGGCACCCAGTGTGGGAGAGACCCTTTGCTCATGCACGAATGAGTAAGAACCCGTCCCTGCCCAGTGAGGTCACCATGTGGGGTGAAGGCAAGAGAAGACATGTACACGAGTGATTCAGTGTAGAGCAGGGTGCTCTGAGTGCGCAGGACAAAGGGGCGCTTTGTCTGGGACAGGGCAGGTATGGACGGGATCTGGTTGGGCCGGGGAAGGCTCCGGGAATGAGGCGGCGTTTAACTGGCTTTTGAAGGATCGGTAGGACCTCTGCACACTGAGCAGAGGGATCAGTGTAAGGAAAGGGTCTTGGCCACACCGGGTGCAGTATCTGTGTCTTCGAAGCACAGTGAGCCAGGCAGCGAGGGTTCGTGCAGGGCAGGCTGACAAACGCAGGGGGCCCAGAGCGAGGAGCCGGGGACACCGGCGGAATGGGAGAGCTCCCCGCTGACATCCTCTGCTGAAACGGAGGAAGAAGTGATATAAATGACAAAGATTTATTCAAGGGTCTTAGGATTCGGGAGAGCTCCCCGCTGACATCCTCCGCTGAAACGGAGGAAGAAGCGATGTGGACATCAATGCGTTGCACTTGTTGACAGAGCAAAAGGGTCAGGAGCCCTCGGCTGGAAATAAATGACAAAGATTTATTCAAGGGTCTTAGGATTTGTATATCGAAAACACGGCCAGGCAATATTCAGGGTGGTCTGAAGAAGAGAGGAAAAAACTGAGAGTTTTAGGGGCCCGAGCGCATCCTTGAGAAGAATCGGTCCCGCGCGGCCAGCTCCGGGGTTGGTCCGGGGTCCGGACGAGGCCTGGCAGGCGGGCCCTGGCGTGGGAGCACCCTTTCCTGAGCCCTTTGGTGGGTTAAGTGTCGGGATTCCTCTATTTCCAGATGTTGATGCACAAGGGGAAAGTTCAACCGTTTAAGTCCTTGGGCTGGTTCTAGCGAAGTAGAACCTGCTCCCCGAGCTGCACCCCACTTGGTCTGAGGCGGTTCGGGGGCCCGGGCCAGGCAGACTCCGTTTTTGTCAGCGTGGCTGTGTGGACTTCACCTCGTCCCTCATGCCCCACGGGGCCTTTCGCTCAGGGCGAAGGGTTTTTGCTCCGAGCTCTACGTGACATAGGTTTCCATGGGGACGGACAGCAGCATGAGGGGTTTGCGTCCTTGGGGAGGAGGGGACGCTGGGTGATGCGCAAAGGTGAAGAAGAGGAAGGGGCTGGGGCCCGAAGGCCCGAGTTCACCCACGCTGCTCGGCTGGCCCCCAAGCCCCACCGTGACCCCCAGCAGAGACCAGCCTGGCTTCCTGTCTGCTCCGGGGTCGCCTCCCAGCCTGAGCTGCTCTGCGGGGTCCTGGGCCGGAGCTCTGTGGGGTGGGGCCCGCAGAGCGGCTCCAGGGGGCGCTCTGTCCCCAGTCCGGGCTGGGGTTTCCGCCTGCTGTGCTGGCCCCCGGGGAGGAGGGCGGTGCCGCTGACTCACTGCCTGGGCATCTGGGCCTGCACCAGGGTGAGTCACCTAGGACTCCAGGGAGAGGGGAG